ACACATGCACACACATCAGATCAGCTGTAAACACACATGCACACACATCAGATCAGCTGTAAACACACATGCACACACATCAGATCAGCTGTAAAGCTGCTTTTTGGTAATGGATCCAAAACCAAAACCTAAGCAGAGTTTCCCAAGTCTATCCCCGAGAAAAAGGAACGGAAAAATGTTCATATCTATAAACCAAAGAATATTGATGCTTCACTTGTTGGTATGTCAATGCTTCTGGACAGACATCTTGGCATTGATATCAACCTAACTTTCATTAAGGGAGCCTTGATTAATTCAGCCACCAAAGCACGTCCGGAATATGATGGCCAGAAGGGAGCGGAAATTGGAGCTGTTTCGTTTAGAGAGAAGACTTAAAAGGTTGAGTGGGTGGCAGATCATTGTCTTCCAATATCTAAGGGGTCTCAAGGGCAAGAGGGGGCCAACTGCATGGCCCCAGATGGAAGCTGGAGCAGTGACAGATTTGTGTTCCAACAAAGGAAAGAACTTCCTTATAATTAAATCTTCCCCACAATAAAAGAAACTGCATTAGGAGGTAGTGAGCTCCTGTCCCTGGAGGTGTGCAAGCAGAGACTGACCAACTTCCAGGGATGCTATGGAGGATGCTACCCTTGCATCAGGTGGGAGGCTGGATCTGGCGATGTCTGAAGTCCCTTCTCAACTCTGAGATCCTCCATGCTCTGGCCTGGGGTCCTGTCCAACGCTGACCTCCATGTACCTTCCCTGGGCCCTCGGCCCCACTGCCTCATGCCTCACTGGTGGTGATGAGGGTCAGGAGAGATGCCAGGGTGTCCTGTTCATGCAGGCATGAATGGGAATGAATGGCTTAGTTGGGAGCCACGTCCTGAATCAGAAGCATGATTCCAGGGATTCTGGGTCATTATGTATGGGCAGTTTCTCGAGTTCCTGGTGATGTCCACTGTGCAGAACTGTGTACCTAGGGAGGAAGGAAAGAAAGCATGAGAACTCAACAGACATCCTTCAAATGTACCAAAGAGAGCACTCCCACCACTCGTGGCTTCCTTTCTACTGCATGCTTCTGAGAGCATGGCAAGGTGGGGCAGGGCAGGGGTGGTACTGCATCGAAGAGGGAAGTCCAAAGAACTACATCAGAATTGCTCATTTTATAGGTGAGGAACTGAAGGCCTGGAGGAAACAACTGGCCCAGGGTTACACAGGGAGTGAGTGGGAGAGCTGAGACTAGAACGCAGATTTCTTTCCTCCCAACAAAGCCTGGGGCTCTTGTGTCACTCATCAAAATGGACCCTATGTTCCACTGAAAGCTGAACCTGAATACGCTAAATTCCCTCTACCAGGGACGGTTCTAGGTTCGGCAATACCAAAGTGCTTACTTTAGAGATTAGTAAACCACTCAGACCCTGAAAGACAACGTAGCTGTATTTGTTCCTTTAATTCCTTTTGGGGACATTTGGAACAGTAAATCAATTAGTTGAATCAAACAGCAAGTTGACTCTAAGCATCTCAGTGCAATATACTACTTGACAAATGTTTATTATTTTTCTGCAGTATCACACAGTTGCACTCAGTATGTTAATTTCGTTTAATCAATCTCAGTTGCAAGTGGGTCGTGTCATCAGTAACCCAGATTCCAACATCTGGCACTCATTCTTGTGAAATTCCTACAGAAGTTAGGAGCACTATCACCACTCGCTTCCCTGAGGCCGGTGTCAAGCCCAGTCAGTAAAACAATTCAACACACACCAGGCAGTTATTTGGCATCATATGTTGACAACTAGCTTGTTGGTGGTTTCTCATGAATTATATTAGTGCTTTGCTTTGAATTATAATAATTTATTGCTGACTTGCATTGATTGGTTGATGTGCTCCAGTACTGGACTAAGCCTTCTCCAAGCATTACCCTATTTAATCTTCACAACAGCCCTGTGAGATAGTATTATGTTCATTTTTCAGTTGAGCAAAATGACACATAGTCAGCTTCGGTGACTTGCCCAAGGGAACGCCGGAAATATGCAACGACACAGCAATTCAAACCCGGTGTGTCAGATGCCAACACCCATGTGCTTAACTGGTTCTCACACAGCCCATGACCAGGTATAAATTTTGAACCGCAGGTCTCAGCAGGGACAATTGGAGGCATTTTTGGTTGTCACGGCAGGGGCGGTACTATTGGCAGCTAGTGGGTAGAGACCAGGGATGCTGCTAACCGTTGTCCACTACACAGCAGTGCCCTGAGATGATCTGAATGCCCTCCTACAACAAAGAATTATCTGGCTCCAAATGTCCATTGTGCCAAGATTGAGAAACCCTCAGCTAGAATAAAAAGTCCTCCTAGCTGGCTAGAAGCAGGTGTTAGCTGAGGAACATGAAGTGAAGGGCACCAGTCTGAGCTCTCCCAGGACTGTCCGCTGCTGCTACTGCTGCTGAGGTAGAGGTGAGCCGAGGGGATTTGACTTGAAGAACCCCAGCACCTGCTAGATGAGTGTTGAGGAGAATTAAGTGGGAAAAGCTCTAGAAAGGGTCAGATCATACACTCTTCACGAGGCTGGTCAAGGAAGTCCCAGTGAGATATGTGAGTAGAGACCTTGGGGAAGTGAGTGTTCTAGCTACTGGATCATAAACTTGCAGCCTCAAAACCACCCTCTTGTGCTTGGCTCTGTGATGCTGCAAACCAAACGAGGGCTTTGTAGGCTGGCTCCTATCAGGATCCTCCAACAGGGGCGCTGGAGGGGGACTGGAAGCCCAGAAGAAGGAGATGGGCCTTGCTCCTCCTGTGAGCTTCCTATCTGCCTGTGGCTCCCGTGGGCCTCACCCCAGCAACGCTTCCTCAGCCCAGAGACCGCGCCTTCCTATCGCGGCAGCTGAGCCCAGTTTACAGTCTTTCCAGCTCTTGCATAATCAGCTTCATGGCAGCCCCTCAGCTCCATCTGGCCAGCGCCTCCCCCTCAAAGGCCTAAGTTTCTCCTCTGTGTGGTCCCTCCTCTACATTTCTAAGTTTTTGTGTTTGTTCCCCTTGGTCTCCCAGCCCTAAAGGGAGTAGTTGTGTCCTGCAGTTGCTACTTCCATGATACCTTAGAGTGTTCTTTTCTACCCTTTCAGTGGTTAACAATTATATGCCTAGTTAACAATTTTTTATGTGAAAATATTGTTTCAATAACTGGCGTGATTTCTGTCTCCTGACCGGATCCCATGATATGCAGTGAGGGGAGGAGGCATGTGCATATCTGGGAAGAAGAACATTCTAGATAGAGGGAACAGCAAATGCAAAGGCCCTGAGGCTAGATCCTGTCTGGAATGTCTGAGGAACAGCAAGGATGCTGGGGGCTGAGGCAGAAAGAGTGAGAGGAGGAGTGGAAGGAATTGAGAGTTGAGGTCAGTAAGGTAGCCAAAGCCAGAGTGGGGGGGTGGGCATGGCTTACAGACCCCCATAAGGCTTTGGCTTTACTACATGTGAAGGGGCCCATGGAGGGGTTTGAGCAGTGCCCCGACAGGATCTGAATGCCCTCCTAGCAGGCTCTCTCTGGTTGTGCTATGGCGAGTAGATGGAATGGAGGTGGGGGTTGGACAGGGAGACCAATTAGAAGGTTACAGCAATAATTGGGTGAGAGAGTAGTTTGCTGTTGTCTTAATTCCACCAGAAAGTTTAGCCTTCACAACTTTTCTCAGACTCTGTCGTGTGTGTCTGTGTTTCCCTTGCCTTGTCTCACCAACTAGAGGCTCTTATGCAGCATAGTGACCTCAAGTGTGACTTGCATCCACCTATCTACCAGCTCTGTGATATTTAGCAAGTTATTTAATCTCTCTATGCCTCACTTCCCTCCTCTGTAACTGAGAGTGATGATAGTACTGGTGTGTGGATTAAATAACATAACGTATGAAAAACATGAGCACGGGGTCTGGCACACACAGTAGAATCTCAATATATTGAAACTAAAATTATTCTATTTACTTCTTTCCCTCAATACCTCCTTTAGTTATGAGTACATAATAATGATGATAATAATATGTGTACAGCAGTTTACTGCTCAAAAATATCTCTATCTTTATTTGTTTGATAGGTAAAACCTAAAAGGACTCAAGATATAGAAGGCTCCCAGATCTTGCCTTTCTCCCTTTTCAGAATCACAAGCCCTCTGTTGGCAAGTATACATACTAAAGCAGTACCACTTGACTTCGTATCCACAGCTCCTTTCATAAGCAGCTCTGCAGGCCAGGCGATAAGACCAATATTATACAGAGAGGGGAAAAGAGAGGCTGGGAGCAGTTGAGTGAGGATCTGAGCATCATGGTAAGCGAATGGCCGGGACCACAGTCAGACTCCTGCCTGTTGCTCTTGTCTCTGAGCAGCACTGCTTAATAACTTAAATACAGGTCTTCAAGAAAGGACTCAGAACCAAACACTCCCGTGAAATGGGGCTGCACTCCAGTATGTGAGGCGCAGGGATATCCCTGAAGCGGATGCATGGGCAGGAGAAACATTCATGATAATAATAAGAAATTGTACACAACTCAATTTATTGAGGAATTAGGATGTGTGCTAGGCACCATTTTTAGTAACCACATACATTGTCTCATTTATACCATATACTTTTCACCACCCTAAGTGGTAGCTACTATACTTAGACCTACTTTACAAATGAGAAAACTGAGGCTCAGAGAAGTTAAGGAATTTATGTCAGGTCACAGTGTCCATGATGCTCGCACTCTTAACGTCAAGACACACTCCTGAGGGCCGGCCCCGTGGCTTAGCGGTTAAGTGCGTGCGCTCCGCTGCTGGCGGCCAGGGGTTCGCATCCCGGGCGGGCACCGACGCACGAACCCCGGGCCGGCACCGACGCACTGCTTCTCCGGCCATGCTGAGGCCGCGTGCCACATACAGCAACTAGAAGGATGTGCAGCTATGACATACAACTATCTACTGGGGCTTTGGGGGAAGAATAAATAAAAAAATCTTTAAAAAAAAATAAGAGACACTCCTGAATCTTTCCCCAGTTCATGGCCAATAAGTCACTTTCACTGGCAATCAATGGCGCCTTCTCCTACACCACGCTCACATGAAAAGGAGCCAAACTGAAGTTTCTGATCACGTAAGAAGATGTGCTGCTATGGAATGCGGGCATGCCTCTACAGCTGCCTTTTACACATCTCTCCTGAGCGTCTACTTCTCGTGTGCTGATGAGTGAGTTGTTCAGGAATAACTAGGAAAGGGGTGTGGAACTGGAGTGGATATTCCAGTGGAGGTTTCCTTATCCCGAGTGCAGCAGAAAGGCAGCAGCTCTCGTTAGAGATGGGGGTGGGCAGATGCGCACGTTTTCTAGTTACAACATTTGGATGGGTGCTCTCACCACGGTATGGTGGTGGTGCACACAGAAAGGAGGAACTAGTCTGGGATTTCCCTGGCAAGAGTCTAGCAGAGGGCGGTGCATCTCAGATGGAGTCTGGCCTGCAGAGGTATTCCCTGGGCTTGGGAATTCCCAAGTCTCTGTGAGATATGTATTTTTAATTAGCTATTTTCACATTCATAGTAAATAACAAGTCATTTGAGCAGATGTGAGATCATCTCACACTGCCTGGTGAATACGGGGCTCGCATTTGCATTCAGGTCCGTTCTGATGCTTCAGTGACAGTGGCTAACTTTACGCAGTGTTTCTCTGCCTAGGATGCATGAACTCCCACCAGTCTATGGGCATAGTCATGGGGATCTCCGCATCTTCAATTTGAGGAATACTGGGGAAAAGAAAGCACGTGATACTGAGAGCAAACAGAATGGCATTCACATCCCGACTCTACCATTTACTAGTTGTGTGACCTCGTCCAGTAGATTAGTCCCACCTACCCCACAGCTTTGCTGTGATGATAAAATTAACATCTCTACAGGGCTCAGCAAAGGGCTAGACAGAGTGGGTGCAGGAATCTTCACTGTTAAGAAAATCAAGGTTCAGAAAATGTGACTTTCCC